AACCGCCGAACCGCGGCGGTTCGGCGAAACTAGCGGTTGGCGATTCTCCGATCGATGACTATTTTTTGCTTTTCTCCCAACCGCCGTTTCGTCAGGGTCGCAGACTGTGAACAATGCCTTACGTGTATTTGCTAGCCGATAGCTTTGCGACTGGAGCAAATGATTTACTACAGCGTACATCCGCAACATTTAGCAGGTTTCATCAATGATTGAAAATCTAATGATGTTTTTCTTTGATAGTAACACACAATTGTTTGGCGGTTCCATAAACGCAACTTCAGGAAATAAACAGATACAAAAGAAATCAGATAAGGCCGTGATTCTCCCTATGTTTATGTGGTTCACATGATTTGCGCAGTCGCCAGCGTCAATATAGACGGATGGCCAAGTTTTTCTGTGAGCTGCTGTAAAAGATGACAAACCAGAGCAAATGTTAAAGACCCCAATGAATTTCGTGCTCTGTTGAACTTTTTCATACTCTACTGAAACTTAACCGTAACTGAACACAAGACTCGATCCTGGGTGATATCAATATTTACCTTCCCTTCAATAACCCTATTCAAACCGCCAGAAGCACGCTTCGTCTTCTCGCCGCAAGTATGTCGCAGGCCACGCCCACCAGCTGCACCGGACGATTCTGTTGCTACACACCCTTAAAATGCTAACTGGCTTTTATTTGATGATTCTCTCCTTTCAGAGTGAGGTCGAGAACAATGATCGCAAAGGAATGTGCCCTCAGTGTAACTCAGGCCCAATGCTACTTAGAAATTTGTATGCTCACGTTAGGACTGTACATTTTTGGACCGAAGACGACGTCTTTCGCTTGAGGGCATCTCACAGAAAAGGCAGAAGTAACGGATCAGCCGGATTTCCTTGTGGATTATGTGAACGCATATACTTTACGGAAAAAGGATTGAAACAACATCATTGGGCACGTTATTGATCTTTCATCGTATTACTTCAAAAGTAGTTGATAGTGAGAAGTAATCTTTTCTATGTTTAGAAAGCGCATTACGTGCGCGATGTCGAGATTAATGACGGTAGGGTTATCTGCCCCGTCTGCAGGAGCAAATTCGCCTCCAATCGTGAACCTTGCTCACCACTGCCACGAAACACATGCTGAAGAAATGCCTGGCCAAGACTACACTATAGTATCTGGTCATCTAAACGATTGGAAGGCATTCGAAGTCAGTAGTAAGCAAGAAGTGCAGACATTCCAGGGAAGTGAACGATATGTTCGATGTTTTAGGAGTGGAAACAGGCGAAAGAACTGTCAACACGAACTCATTTTGTGATCAAGAGGTCATTTGAAGCGCCGAAAGGGAGATCGATTTCGTTTCATTGCCAGCACGCTAGACATGTCGACGGAACCCTCAAGTTATTAGCTTCTCGTAAACGTGGAAAGACACCAACACGGGTTTATGGCCATTGTTCAGCGTTTCTGAAGGTAATGTTGGTTGCTTCGTATTCTAACGTAGAAGCGGCATTCTAATCAGGTCATCTCACAAAATGAAGGAGGAGTTAAGCAGATCTCTTTGTGGAGAGAATGGCAACCTCCTCAGGATTTACTTCTTTGGTGCAACCCCTTTTCATCACCTGTCATCTTCCAACTTTTCGCAGAAATTTGGCGCCGGTGGGGAAGTAGACACCTCCGACTAACTATCGCAAATTGTAGCTTTCCGCGCCTCATCTGGGAGAGGAAAGGGGGAGGTAGATTTTCGTGGAGTAATATAGCGCAAGTGAAGCAGAAAAAAAATCAGCGGTAAGGAAACTTTTCTCATCAGTAAGCACGACCACTCTCTCTCCAGCAGGGAACCCTATCGTGTTTTACTAATCAATGGGTTATTCGTTGACTACCCGCCCCCAGCTTCTAGTGAGCGTTTGGCGCTTAGCAGCTTCTCCTTCCAACAAGTACTGTGGCCGTCAAGAGGATCGACTAGCTCGCTTAGCACTTTTTTCAATAGTGTCATCAAAACATTTGAAATCGCACAGCGGCAGGTCGAACGAATACGCCCAACTGAATCCGGGTCTCAGTAGCCCTCCACCCCCACCCCCGTCAGCAGTGCCGGATAGTACGATTAGTTACGGCTTGGTATTGATGATCATGTTGTTGTAAGGTACTATCCTCCTGTAGATCTGGTCCATGAGGAACGAACAAGGCACATTGGCGGTGGGTGTTTTGTTTCTTAGCAGAGTCGCCAGAAGACCATAGCTAGGAAGACAATTGTCATATTCATGATCCTCTTGGACGTGAAGCCCCTGGCGTGATTCGGGGAATGGAGGGGGATTTTCACCTGCATTCATTCAAAGTTGAAAACACGTGACTTTTAGTTCTTTTTGCTATACGACTCATATTTCGCCTGTGGTTAGAGCCCGTTTCCGTAGTCGTATACTTCTTGTGCGTGTATAAGTATAAAAATTTAACATTGTTAAACATACGGATTCGGCTATGGGTTTGTGCTCCTGTGGGAAAATGAAGAGAACGATGTTACGTTAACATACACGAAGGAGTAGCGTGTAATTGCACACGCAAGCGATTACCGTAACCCCAAAACTGTTTGCATTCGCCATGGAGTGCAAATGGGGTGCTATAGGTTGGTCACTACGTAGGCAAATAATTACCAACATAATGTACCTTAAATATTAAATGGATCCTACGCTATAATCGCTTCCAAGAAACCACTTCATGCTTCCTCTGCCTTTGTAAAAACGGCGAAGTTTTGCGGTTTTCACTCGTGAAGAGTATTGTTTTTAACAAGTTGTCTGATCAGCCGTTTCACTGACATCGTAGGGTATCCTAACTTTGTCTTCAGCACCAGTATTCGATGCGCTCATATCCACTGTTGTTCTTGGAGGGTTATACATGATTTTCATTCCAATCCATTTTGTATATTGAACGAAGGCATTTGAATTTTCCTCCGCTACTATGAGGTATCAGCGGCTGGAACAGACCTACATCTAACGACGCCTTCCTCATCTTGCGAGGTCTCGATTTCCTCTGTGATTCTCAGTTTGGATGCGATTTTCCTTTTTGTAATGCGGGGTCTGATTCATGGCCAAACGTTCTTTCCACGCGGCTAAATCTCTGTCCCAGTGAAGAGAAAGATCACTACCGCAGACACCCATTCCGGGTGCTGCTTTGCTTCTCGCTCGGAAAGAAAGCCACCAACCTTTCGTTTCGAAAGGCAGCGTCAGCGGCTAGGGATCAAGATCTCAATGTAGCGAACGCCCGCGTCCACCGCCGTCTAGTCCTAGGAGTCATGAATAGGGATATTGGAGATATAATGAAAATGCGTCGTGTGCGACCGCACCGTACAACTGCCAAAGCTTAGAATTAAGCTGGCTTGATGTAAGGTGTAGGGCAGCTTTTGAGTGTGCGCACCGCAATATCGGATGCCCAACCAGCTGTGCTAATCTGCCATAATCCCCACTCTTGGACCCTCTTGCGCGCGGAGTTCGCTACTTCAAAGATAGCTAGTGTTCGCTGGCCACGTTGATGGAGCTAGTGGTCCCTGGTCATTGAATGGATGTGATTTCATGTTCAGGAAGTCGAACTACGCCTGGAGACCTACTTTACACAAATCGAAGACGGAACTCCAACTTCGAAAACTGGGCAGTAAAGGATAAATTGTCCCAAAAATTGCAGAGTGACGAGAAGCATTGGTCATTTTTCGATCTACTCCCGAAATCCTGTACATCTTCAAACTAATGCGATTAATTCGTTTCATCAATACTACAATTCTTTATTTCTTCAATTCGTCAATTCTTCCGATAAGAGACGGAAAGATCCGTACCAGTTACCAAAGTTAGAATAGTCGGAATGTGTAGCTACATGGACGGAATGTTTCCTTGAAAGCTATCTTGATAAAGAACCCCTTAATACACGTAATGACTAACCTATCGCACCACAGTTGCACTCCATGGGCGAATGCAAACAGATTTGGGGTTACGGTAATCGCCTGATGTGTGCAATTACACGGCTACCCTTCGTGTATTTTACGCAACATCGAGAGAACGAACAACATCCTCCTTTGCCAGGTCGTACCAATTGTTCGGACCTATGTTGCGGGTCAGCGGCTGAAGCCAGAAAGTTTCAGACTCGCGACCACGTTCCACAGCGGTCCAGTCTCTCTAATTAAGCATTTACCGTTTACTTCCACACGCTTTTCGGTACACGGTGAACATTGTGTGGCCTTCCTCGATCATATCTTTTCCCTTAAAATTGCGTGTCGCCCGAGTCCTCACTGCAATTAAATGTTAAACACATGAAGAGGCGCCGAAATTTTCACTTGCAAAAGATCAAAAGATTCTCTCTGCATTAAAAAATCTTTTGGGTCTTTTGCAATAAAAATTTTGGCGCATCTTCTATGTGTTTAACATTCACATATCTTTTCCGTTCTTTCTTTGGATTTCCGTTTCCATTCTTCCACATTCCGCTTCGAGGACACCATTCTACGCAACTACTGGTCCAGCTCTGATACATTTGAGCGGCATACTTCCTTTGTATTGCGTAAGATTTGATGAATTCGCCTTGACGCATTCTTAGGCTTTTTTTGCCTCTGTACGTTTCTTCTATGGCCACAGACTGGAACGTTGACAGGTCCGTAGCCAGCTCTAAACTTTTTAAACACTTTGAGAAAAAACTTTTGCAGTCAATTACTTTGTTTCCCTCCCTTCCAATCCGACTTCAACTACTCCACTTTTTGTCGATGACGATGGACCACTATGTACTTGCGACTTGGATTGAGATGACTATAGTTTCAAAAGTCGCGCGACTGAGGCGCCGGATTCGCGCTTCACCGCTTGTCCTTGGGACCGCTGAATCAGCCACTTAAGGGTGAAAGCTCCGCAACAATCCAACGATAAGCGGTCGCAGTCGCTCGACTGTATTGCTCGAGACGAGAAGTATGGACGCCGTCCAAGTGACGTACATTTAGGCTTATCTACTGGCTGATGGTAGCGTCGAGTATCATGGATGTTTCGGGCACATCGGTCATCTTATGCCCGACGCCACACTTCCAACCCTTGAAACCGAACACGTTTTTTCTATTGTTGAAGACGAAGTTGTTGGAGATGCGCTGAAGAAGCAACAGAACGAGACGGAGGTGGAATATCAAAAACTGAAAAAAGTAAGACCTTATACCAGTACCGACGATTCCCTTTTAATTGAACCACCATGCTTTTCAGGTGAAGTTTCATCTTGATACGTTCGCGCGTCTTTGTCTCCGAAGGGGACTCACGGACGCGCTCAAGGAAATCAGACTCATTCTTGAACAAGGGTTAGAGTTTGTCTCGGCAATGGTTGAGGAACAATGTGATGAACCTGTACGGACGGCGTCAGTTCGAACACAAGAAGTAAGTCGAGAACACAGGTCAATTTTGGCCCTTGAAAGAATTGATGCAGGGCGTTTTTGCTGCTGAGTATCTGTGTTGGCCTTATGCACATTTTCAGTGAAGACATGAGATCTCGAATTGGGGGAGAGCTCAGGGTTCTGCTAGACTAGCGAGTGCGAGTTTTGTAAGGCAGCGTTCATACTTCGTGACAGCGCGGCCCAACGCTATTACTTGGACCTCTCCGAGTGCTTTAAGGAGAATCGGCTCAATATCGTGGTTTTGCAATTGTCTTAAATACTAAAGCTTTTTGACTTAAGTGAAGGTGGACAAATTATTGGCTTTTTCTGTTTTCTTCTTTGATTTAGGTTGAAGATGAGCGAAGGCGATAGTTTTATTTGGGGTAAGTTTCTTATGACGTGTAACTACAAGTTTCTACGACTTGTAAACTGGAAATATTTTGAAAGTTGGAACAGTTCGGCCAGTATGAAGCTTTTGAGACACTTATATAAACTGAAACAATGAAAACAAAAGAAACAAAAAGAAGCTCACCTAGGAAATGAAGTTGCCCTTATCCCGACCTCAAAAAAAGGTGAAACTCCCTCCTCATATTCCAGATCCTCTTAGGTACAGAAGTTTTCAGTTAGTAGCCATTATTAAGAGAAAAAAGTCTTACAAGTTGGATTTCCTTATTTATCAAAGCGAGCGGTCCAAGTAATAGCGTTGGGGCGCGCTCTGACGCGTACCGACGATCGCGGCGATCGCCACTGCTGTCGCGAAGTATGAACGCTGCCTAAGTAATTGAGCTGAAATTTGGCATTTCTCACTGTTTATCATTGCGCTGATAAGCAGGCATTAGCGTATTTACATATTCTTTCAGGATCGCTCGTAATGTAAGGTTCCGAAAGCCATATCGCTATATGATTAGGTTGAAATTTGCATATCCTGGTATCTATGTTCTTCAGTCGATCCGCCGAAGATTTATTTGGAGCAAATTCCAAGGTTGATTACATATAATTTTGAAAACTGGAGCAGATGTAGCATAGTTACATTACCTCTCGAGAAACGTCTTGC